GATAAAGTACAACTCAGGACCCCCAGCATTACTTTGTTTGACTTTTCACGCCAGAAGATCCCTGTGCTTGGCCTGTTTGAAGCAACGCTGTCGTACAAGGCACGAACAGCCGTCGTACCGCTTTACGTAACACGCAGTGGGACCTCCCTTTTGGGATTAGATGCTGTGTAAGCCCTGAATTTTCAAATTTCAGAGAAGGAGCTACGTTGCCTGCACACGGTCGTTCAGCAAACGTCCGCCTCCGCAATCTCAACGTTGCCTGCAACGAGCTCAGACGCACAAGGGCGCATTCCACCGCAAGGCGCTATCGTAGAGCAACCGCAGAGTGAGCCAAAGTTTGGCATGCCTGCATTGCTGTGGGCCAGGTTTTCTCACCTGTTTACCCCAGGTTTGGGCCTTGTCAGAGGTTTTCAGCACAAGGTGAAGATGAAACAGGCAGTCTCCCCAGTCGCCCAAAAGTTGAGGCGCCTCCCATTCTCAGTACGCCAACCAGTAAGCGACCAACTACAGACCCTGCTCTCTGCTGACATCATCGAAAGGATCGATGCTTCCGAATGGGTTTCTCCCATCGTCGCAGTCCAGAAGGAAGATGGAAGCATCCGTCTTTGTGTTGACCTAAGGAAGCCAAACAAAGCCATTGTGGTTGACAACTTCCCGCAGCCTCACACTGAGGAACTGCTGCATGCCTTAAACGGAGCCCGCCACTTCTCAAAGCTAGACCTCGCCTCTGCATACCACCAAGTCCTGCTGCACCCGGACAGCAGGGATCTCACAGCGTTTGTTACGCACGAGGGGCTTTTTCGGTTTAAAAGGGTCTGCTTTGGATTGGCGTCGGATCCAGCAGCCTTTCAGCAGCTCATGACAAGAATCCTGCAAGGCTGTCATGGTGTTCTTTGTTACATAGACGACATCATCGTCTTCGGGAAGACTGAGAAAGAACATGCGAAGAACCTGGAAGAAGTTCTGCATCGCATTGCGAAAGCAGGTCTGAAACTTAACGAAAAATGTGTTTTCAATGCAAGAAAACTCTCTTTCCTTGGACATCGTGTCAGTGCGGAAGGCATAGCACCCCTTCAAGCCAAAGTCAATGCAATCGTCCACGCCCCCACACCAGCAGGACCCGGCACACTCCGTTCATTCTTAGGACTTGTCGAATACTACGCAAAGTTCATTCCTAGGCTAGCCGAGGAAGTCGAGCCTATGCGTCGACTGCTGCGCAAAGACATACCTTTTGAGTGGGACACAGCCGCCCAAGCAAGTTTTGAGAGAGTGAAAACTCTTCTGGCCTCCCACAAGGTGTTGCACATGTTTGACCCAGCTCTTCCAGTGACTGTCGCAACTGATGCTTCTGCATACGGGCTAGGTGCCGTTTTGCAGCAAGTGGACGGTCAGAAAACCCTGACCATTGCGTTTGCTTCGCGCACTCTAACCAATGCAGAAAGAAAGTACTCCGCCAGCGAGCGTGAAGCATTGGCTTGCGTGTGGGCATGCGAAAAGTGGCATGTTTATTTGTGGGGACGGCCTTTCACTCTTCAGACGGATCACCAGGCATTGGTAGCGTTGCTGTCTAACAAGGGAACAGGGCGACGTCCCTTTCGCATTGCAAGGTGGGACTGAGCGACTTCTACGCTACAACTACACCGTCGAATACCGCAAGGGCTCGGAGAACAAGGTAGCAGACGCGCTGTCACGTCTTCCAGCGAAAGATAAGCCGGAATGCACACCTCAACCTAAAGACGACTCTACAGAAGTTGTGTTCCTAGTCGAGCCGCTGTGCATCGCTAAGGACCAGTTCGAGCAGTCCACCAGTAATGACGCCACTCTGGCAAAAGTCAAGGAATACGTTACTTCGTCATGGCCTCCGCACAAGCTCGTCCCAAGCCATCTGCTGCCGTACTTCATGCTACGCAACGAGTTGTCAGTGGTAAACAACTTACTTCTTCATGGGGAGCGACTTGTAGTTCCACAGTCCCTTGCGCATCAGGTAATCTCCACAGCGCATGAAGCTCATCCCGGCATCGTCAGGACGAAAGCGCGACTTCGAGAACGGTTTTGGTGGCCGGGTATGGACCGGCAAACAGAAGTCGCAATACAAAACTGCAGCGTCTGTCAGAAGGCCGACAAGAGTGCGAAAACGGCCCCTGCTCCACTGCAACCTGTTCCATTCCCAGAGCGCCCTTGGCAAAAAGTCGCCATAGACATTGTTGGCCCTCTGGAAAGAGCTCCTCAAGATTGTAGGTTCGCCATTACACTGGTTGACTATTTTTCTAAGTGACCCGAAGTACAATTCTCCAACGAGGTATCTACAAGAACGATCACCAACTTCTTGCTGTCAATTTTTTCTCGAGAGGGATACCCTGACGAGATAGTCACTGACAACGGGCCCCAATTTTCTTCACGAGAATTTTCGCAATTCTTGGATGAGCGTGGTATCCGACTGACACATTCTTCGGTGTATTACCCTCAAGCCAACGAACTTGTCGAAAGGTTTAATCGTGTTTTTAAGGACTTTGTACAGGTTGCTGCATTAGAACATGGCCCTCTTCGACAAGCGGCACTGGAGTACTTGGGTGTTTACCGGTGCACACCTCACGCAACCACGGGAGTAGCACCAGCCTTGCTCCTACATGGACGACTGCCCCGAACACGACTGGACATCATTGGGCACCCATCCCCATCATTCTTCACAGACCCTGCCAAAGGGCTTGGCCAGCTTCGGAAGAGAGTCGCACAGAAGCAAAAATACAGCAAGATGTACACAGACTTCCGCCGTGCAGCCAAGAAACCAAACATAGCAGTTGGAGACATGGTTCGTGTGAAGAAGCCGGCAGTCTCTTTTAAAGGAGACCTCTCGTTCAGTCGTTCTCGGAAGGTGGTGGGACAATGAGGGCCAGCCTCTTTCTGCCTAGACGATGAGCGAACATGGAACTCCTCCAAGTTGAGCAAGGTTCCTGCACAGGCCGCCCAGCCTCACCCAGTCATCCAAACGCCAGATGTTCACGCTCACCCAGCACAGCCTTCAAGCCCGTCACCTGTGCCTTGTGACAGTGGGCAATCAGCAGTGCCACTCGGTACCCCCCTCAGTGCAGTGCCTAGTGTTCTGTGCAGCCCTTGTGTAGCATCGCAAGAGACACAACAGGCTGTCTCTTCTCCACCCTCTCCACAACCGCCTTCTCGTCGGGAGCTACCCGCGAGGACAAGACGTGTATATAAGTCCACCGTACAATAAACACCGGCAGTCGTCGGTAGCCCATGGCGGCAGTCATGTGTACGAGTTCCTCTCTTCCGTGATAGCGGCTCACCACGCCGCAATACCGCAGTGGCGTTTGTAGAAGCGGCGTTCGTTGTAGTGAGGTTCGACTGTATTGCATAAGGTTGTTACAGCGTGTCACTAGTAACATACTTGATCCGGCTGATAATGTCACCAATGTAAAACTAACTGAACAAATGTACATGATGTTTGGTTTACCCGACCGCAACTACTGGGTTCGTATGCCTGAGAGTGCCATTCTCATTCCGAGACACCACACTTTCCACCAAAAAGGACATTGCACATGCCTTGTTCTAGTTAAATTTTTGCAGGTTAATACTCGTGACAAACGTGCTCATTTTTTTCAATAATATGTGATAAACACTATATCAACTATTAGAATTGAAATTATGTGACCAAATCCCTCTACGCTTCGAACCTCGAATTTACTATTTGCCCATCCCTAGCACATGCCAGAACATAAGCTGCTATCCATGTGAGAGTATTTCAGCAGTCAAATTTGGGTTAAGAAGAAAGGATAAATGCGGCTTTTTTGCACCATCAGGCCAGCTCTGCCCCTCTTTCCCACTATGGTGGCACATTTCAATGTCATAATTGTCATTACAGGAATAGTTCAATAATATTGGAGCACAAACAAGTCTCAGTTATCTTTGTACCAATTGTTCAGTATATTCATGAAATTTTGTACCAATACGGCCAATTACAGCTATAATAGTCAACTAAGAGTTCCTTGCATGGTTATTCTATGGCAACTACCTTTATCATACAGCATCTAATTGAGGTTCCTGACAATTGTAAAATTGGTAGCCATCTTGAATTTCGGTGCTATTCTAGGATGGTGCCCCACCTCCACTTTACGTTAAATTTCACTTACGTTCAATTTGCAGAAGGAGGTGGGGGGGCTTGCCCAGAATTTTATGGTGGATGGACTGCATGCTGTTTATGTCTCATTTACGTCTCACCGTTTGTCATTACATTGCAACATCTGGTGCCAGCATGTACAGCATGGCTGCCTCATCATACACAAAAGTGCACGTGTAGGTAAGCATTTCAACAACTCGTTAGGCAACAGCTTTGCAGAGTTCTACACAAAAACCGAAACTTGCATCTCCTCACCTCAGGATGATATTCAAGCGATGCAGCCAAGCCTTTTCCAAACTATTTTTAAAACAATAGATTGAATAAAAAAATTCACTGAAAATAAATAATAAATAAAATAAAACTCAAACTAAGTGGAAAAAGAATTTCGTTAAACTTTGAACAATATTTCTTTTTGTCAGGATCAAGCCCGAATTCCTCTCGTGATTGTTCAATACACCATAACTTCTAATCAAATAATCAAATGTGTTCAGACCACCCCTTTCAGCTCAACTGCACACAGTTACGATTCATAATTATACTAATATGCAGATTTACTTTATAACACTCAGTTGAGAATTAGCTCCACGAAGGGCACATAAAATATTTTTATTTGAAAAGAATGGATACCATATTGCTAGAAAAGTAGCTGCATATTTTAATTCAGAACAACAGTTAAATGTACATAAAATGAGCAAGTTTCTAATAAAAGTTTACCAAGACAACAGTGCGGAAGTGCCATTTGTGTGCTTTATACCCCTCCCCCTTCTAGAATGCTGCGTCACAGCATATGGAGACAAAAGATAGCATCCTTACGAATTACACCCAGAGTGGCAGCAAAGCTACTTATATTGCTGCTGCATCAGCTTACCTTGTTGGCAAACAATGTCATCACGAATTTGCCAGGAAGAAACATCTTCAGCAGAGTAGTAACCAAGTCATGGTAGTTGTCCTGAAAAATGGCAGTGCTAGATCAGTACCACTCTACTACGAAGAACAGCTAAAGTTTAGAACTTCGCAATATATAGGACTGTTTTTTAGCTGTGCCCTTCATCCTTATCATCATGACCCTTCATCCTTATCATCAGCCTGACTACGTCCACTGCAGGGCAAAGACCTCTCCGGTGTTTTGCCACCCAAATCGGTCCTGTGCTTGCTGCTGCCACTTTATACCCACAAACTTCCTAATCTCATTTGCCCATGTCTAAGTTTGTCTCCCCCTCATCCGCTTGCCTTCACTAAGAATCCAGTCAGTTATCCTTTATGACTAGCGGTTATCCTGCCTACACGCTACATGCCCAGCCCATATCCATTTCGTCTTCTTGATTTTAAATATGATACCCTTAACCCCGGTTTGTTCCCTGACCCACTCCGCTCTCTTCTTGTCTCTTAAAGTTACAACTATCACTTTCCTTTGTATCGCTCGCTGCGTAGTCCTCAGTTCCCTCTCTCTTTCTAAGTCTCCCTCTTTCTAGGTCACCATGTTTCTGCTCCATAGCTAAGTAGCAACAAGATGCAGCTGTTCTATACTTTCCTCCTGAGGGATAGTGGCAATCTACCAGTCATAATTTGAGAGTGCTTGCCAAATGTGCTCCACACAATTCTTATTCTTCTAGTTCCTTCAATCTCATGGTTTGGCTCCGCCATTATTACCTGTCCTAAGTATACGTAGTCTTTTACAACCTTCAAGTGCACTGTTACCTATCTCAAAGCGCTGATCTCTAACGAGGTAGTTGTACATTGCTATAGCTTTCTGCAGATTAATTTTAAGACCTACCTTCCTGCTCCTCTTGTCTAATTCAGTAATCATTAGTTACAATTCGTCCCCTGAGTTACTCAGCAATGCAGGTGCAGGTTACTAAGGGACTCTCTGTTAACTCTTATGCCTAAATGTTTCCGATCTGGGCCTCTGACAACCTCTTGTAAACACGAAATAAATAGCATTGGGGAGATCATATCCACTTGTCTTAAACCCTTCGTGATTCATAATTTGTCGCTTTCTTTATGGAGCACTATGGTGGCAGTTGATCACCGGTATATTTCTTCAAGAATGTCTATGCACGCTTTGTCGACGCCCTGATTCCGCATTGTCTGCATGACTGCTGATATTTCTACTGAATCAAACGCCTTTTCATAATGTATGAAGGCTATGTATAGTGGTTGGCTCTATTCTGAGCATTTTCATATTACCCGATTGATAGTATGAATGTGGTGGACTGTTGAGTAGCCTGTTCGAAATCCTGCTTGTTCCTTTGGTTGACTGAATTCTAACGTCTTAATTCTGTTAGCAATTACCTTTGTAAATAGCTCGTATACGACAGAGAGCAAGCTGATAGGCCTGTAATTCTTCCTGTTTTATTTATTTTTTTATTTTTTTACATGTCACCTACATTGCCGTGAGGCATTACGTAGGGGAGGTACACATAATAATTTGACTACATAGTTTTCAATCGAAACAATAGATTCAACAAATAAAACAGCACTCAAAATATTTTAGGCGAAGAAAAAAAACACTCGAATATTGGTGAGCGAAAACGTCACAGTCATGCATTTGTAAACACCCACACGTTTCGAGACAGCAAACCAATCTTAGTGGCAGTGATATTGTAGGAGTTGTTACAAGGAAGAGAAAAAGGATTCATTATCAGTTTCATTGACGAGATCATCCGGTAGACAGTTGGTTCCATTCCTGTATTGTTTTTACGAAAAAAGAACTATTGAAAGAGTGGGTTTTGTAGCGGTATTCTAATATTTTTCGTGAATGGTCTTGACGATTAGAGATGTACGTTGGTGTGAACAGATAATCAAGAGGGTTGATGGCATTTCCATTATAATATATACAATGAAGAAATTTAAGCCTCGGTTTCTGCCTCCTTACCATCAGTGTCTCCCATTTCAATGCTCGTTTCATTTCTGTGATGCTTGCAAAGGAATTGTAGTTGTTGCTAACAAATCTGGCTGCTTGGTTTTGAACTTTTTCCAATGCGTCAATCAAGTATTGCTGATGGGGATCCCGGATTATGCAAGCATAATCTAGAATAGTTCTTACATACATGAGATAAAGGGTTTGTTTCACGGTCTGTGAAGCTTGCCTAAAATTTCTGCGTATGAAGTATAGCATCCGGCCTGCCTTAGTCACAGTTAAGTCAATGTGTTTATTCCCCTTGAAATTGTCGGGAAGATAGACGCCCAGATACTTATAATAGGATTCATTGCCAATTATTGAATTATTTATTTTGTATGTTGTGTCTAGTTTACTAATCTAGTTGGTGAATGATACACAGCAACATTTACAAACGTTTAGACTTATTTTCCATTTTTGGCACCACGTTGATATTCGGTACAGATCATGCTGCAGAATTTCAGCATCCTTGTGCGATTTAATCACTCTAAACACTACACAATCATCTGCGAATAACTTAATGAGAGAGGTAATACCATCGACTATGCCATTATTATAAATCAGGAAAGCAAAGGTCCTACTACGCTCCCCTGTGGTTCACCGGACGTAACGGTTACCGCAGATGATTTTGATCCGTTAAGCACTACGTTCTCCTGTCGATCGTTTAGACAGTTCTTTACCCAATTGATAACTTTAAGATTTATGTTTGCAGAGGGCATTGCCAATTCTAACAGATTGTGTGGGACGGTATCCAAGGCTTTCGGGAAGTCAAGGAACACTGCATCTACTTGAGCGCCACTGTCTATAGACTGTGCGATGTAATGCTGAAATTCGACTTGTTGAGTTACGCATGAGCATCTATTTCTGAAACCATGTTGAGATGGAGCGAGGAAGTTGATTGACTCTAGGTGTTTAACTGTTTCACAGTATATGATGTGCTCAAATAACTTACAGCAAATTGCTGTTAGCGAGATGGGCCTGTAGTTTTTGACAAGCTTTTTATCACCCGATTTATGAACCAGGATAACGTTTGCAACTTTCCAGTCATGTGGGACAACTCCAGTATTTAGTGTGATCTCATATATAATGCATAAATACTTTGCAATGATGCTGTGACAGTTTTTAAGAACAAATAGTGATAAACCATCTGGTCCAACTGCTTTAGTTGTATCTATCTGCTGTAACAAGCAATCAACACCAGTAATATCAACCTCCACGTCTTTCATGGAAGGCCACGTGACTGGAAGCGCCCCCACATCGCCAGGTGTGCTTTGAGTAAAAACTGATTGGAAATAGTTATTAAAAGCTTCAGCTTTTTCTTCATCGGTGCACAAAGTATCACCCTCCACGGTCAGAGCAGGAATACTTATATCGTCTTTTCTAGTTTGTTTCACATACTTCCAGAACTCTTTCGGGTTTTGCTTTAACCTATCGCTTAATTGGGCAAAAAAAGTATCTTTCCTTGTTTTTATTGCCGATTTTAGTGTCAGGTTTGCATGCCTAAGCTCTTGTTCATTAGACGTGGTACTCCTATTGCGAAATTTTCTGTACGAACTTCGTGCTTTCCTAATTAACCTGCGAATGCCTTTATTAAACCAAGGCTTTTGTTTTGTTCTCTTCTTTAACATTCCGTTTGGTACATGAGCTTCAACTGCGTTAAGTAGCTTATCACGAAAATAAGTGACCTGGTGATCTTTCTTATGTATTAAGACAATGTTAGCATTATTCCAAGATTCTGGTACCCTCTTTATCAGGAGACACTTCGTAAACAGGGTGGCTAGTTTTTCTAACACAATTTGTCCTCCCACTTTCAGCAAATCTGATGTTACCTGATCCTCACTAGCCGCTTTACCTCTGACCCTTAGTGCAAATTAAATCTACACAAGAGAACACGGCCAACAAGAATGAAGTGCCTGCCCTCGTCAGCCTTGTTCACTTGCTTTTGGCTGGCAGGGTTTAACATTCAATACTGACTCTGAATATAAGTGCAGGACAGCATATAACTTCGGCCACTTGGGAATTCTCAAAGGCTCACTGACATTGCACAGCCCACTAGCCTCAATCCTAAGCGTTCAACATGCAGGGTGATATAGAAAATAGCATGCCTTCTGCTTTAAACCTTGAAACTCTGCATCCATAATTTAATTCCACAAGACAGTGTACTGCAGATGCCAAAGGGCATTACGACATGAACTGGCTGTCAAGTGTAGCAAATGGTGTCATTTCTTTGTCAGCCCCACACATTGCGGTTCACAGATATTTAGCACGAGGAGCTAGGCTAGCAAAGTATTCTGCAACCCGAAAAGTGTAGAGGCATCATAAATGCAATGCATAGGACAAAGAACCTTGCATGTGATCTTGTTTACCTCTTTACAACTTATGTAACAAAGTATTAATTCATTTTTTTTTTAACAACAATGAGTCAAGTAAGACAATGTGGCTACAGAAGGTCATATGCAATTGCATGCAGGCACGTCAGCAAGTTGTTTCAAGTCCAATAATGAAACATGGTAAGGGTGACGAGCTACGACTCTGCAACCACCTGTTTCAATTCAATACGTGATTACAGAAAACTGAAGCCCCTAAACAAACATCAAAGGCCGTTTCTTGTTTCATCAGGACAGCAAGCAATGTATGTGATTTGGCTGCTATAAAATCAGAGCTTATTGTGATGAACAAAACCACCAGACGATCGCAGCCCGCAACAAAACTTGCTTCACCACAACCAACCATAGGCCAACAACCTCATTCATCAGTCGACTCACTGAGGCTCAGATCGGGCCGAGAGTCTGAGTGCGAGCTAAAGGCGGGATCTCCCCAGAGGCGAGGCACATCAGAAGTGTAAAAGAATCAATAATATTTTTGGAGAGCCTGAATAAGGTGAGCCCTGTTAATCTTAAACGAATATTAGCACGACGAAAGCGGGGACGGGAAAGAAAAGACAAACTACAGCGAGTCCCTGCATTTGTTGCGCTAATATTCGTTTAAGATAGAAGTGCACCAACTCGCCCAATTGTCCCTTCCAAGTCCGGTTAAGGTAAATATGGGTG